CATATGATCAATTTGTTGAAATTAAACCAGAATTTCATTCGGTAAGAAAGAATTTATTATTTCAAAAGAATTGAATAAGCAACTTGTTACATCATGACTTTGTTGATCAGGATAAAATCTTACCGCCAATGGGCAAACATCCACGAGTATTTAAATATAGCGAATATACCATCAGTGAAATTCACAATTGAAAAAAGTTCAGAAACTCTTATTAATCAGATAAAATGAAAGAATTTTGTTTTTTTTATAAAAATTTCCTTATGAAAATTATGAATGATAGGTTAATTAACAGTTTCATTCATTCTTACTGATAGATTTGTTCAAGTGAATTCATTTCCGAAGACTGGCGAATCGGTATAGCAAATGGTCTTGTTTCTAATTTATCTATTTATTCACAAAAAGATTATCGTCGATTTATTTCTGCTCATATACAATATCTTCAAGGATTATGTCGTCTTTCTCAACAATCAGTCAATAATGCTGTTAATGAATCGCTAACATCATTATTAGTCACTATTGAACTTCTCTCTGAACAAAATTTGTATGATTATGTTAATAATTCAATTGAGCAAAGCAAATCAAATGCTCCTATTCTATTCTCTCGTCTTCTCTTCATCACTCGAACTGTTAATCATGGAAATGCTTTCATATCAACATATGGCTCAAATTTCGAATATACTTCTTTGTTGACTGAAGATATGATTAGTTATGCATATACTGAAGGTATGATTTATGATAATGAATGCTCATGTGGATTGTATTCAAACTGTACAACTCAAGCGACTTTTGTCGATGAAAATTCCTTAGAGATGGTACCAGTGAAAGGATTAAAAATGGGATGTACACCAAGTGAATCATGTCGTTTATCAACTCTCGAGTGTTTTTATGATCAATCATGTCTTAATCTTATTCAAAAGTATACAAATTATCATAATTCTTCAATTCCTCTTTCAACCAACTCCAGTCGTTTTCCAGAGAATACAAAAATTGATGAATTGATTAAAAATTTATTTAATGAACAATGGTTCAATCAATCCAACTATTC